TTTCTGACTTCTCTTACGACTGTACTGGGCAAACCACTCTCTAATATCCTACAAGTCCATCAGGAATCAATTAGAGGGCCTCTGGAAAAAGTACTTACTTTTTTAACAGCTGATCTTTCTTCCTTCTTGAATGATTTTCCATTGGGGAGTATGTTGAGCATGTCTTGCAAAACTCAAGAAAATATCTCAGCACGAGCAGTGTTGTTGGCGTCTCTGTACTCCTCCCGATGTTTTTCCAATAGAGCACTTTCTTCATTGGTCCAATGCCTCCCGGACCCATGGTGCTTGGTTTGACTGGAAAGTGGGGCAGATGGTTCAGGGGATTGAGAATGAGTACTCATAATGATATAATTAATGGTATTTGGGAGCAAAGAGGTAGATGGAAAATGGTAGTCAGGAGCAGAGAGGGAGAACAACTCATGCCAAATACAATGAACAAACAATCACCCCTGATTCGGGAAAGGGAATTACTTTATATATCATCTATCAAAAATATACATAACTGATCGGCACGGAAGATCGAACACGAAACGGAAAAGAACAGACCTTAATAACCTTAAATAGCTTAAATAGCGGAACAGTTATGATCACATCACAGCAGTACTTTACCCTCCCCCATGAGTTCTGGCGGACTCCAGCGGACTCCCATAGAATGTCGGAATTCCATCCGGAGTCCGCCAGAATGGTAGGAATCTCAAATTCCAGTGGATTCTGCCGGATTCTGAATGGAATTCCAATGGATTCTGCCGGATTCTGAATGGAATTCCAGTGGATTCTGCTGGACTCTGAATAGGTCTTCAGTACTTTACCCTCCCCCACATGCTCTGATCAGAGCTAGAGGTCAGGTGACTTGAGCTGTATTTATTGAAGTCAGAAATTCAAACCTCCTTATAAAATTCACAAGTGAATTAGATCAAATAATGATGTATTTCAATTATAATACAAAATATATTTAACTACATACAGTGTATACTAGAGAGGGAGGGGATGGGCAAGGAAGGGGCAGGAAATGAGGAGGGAAGGGGGAAGGGAAAAGGGAAAAGGAAGGGGGGGGGGAAGGGAAAAGGGAAAAGGAAGGGGGAGAAGGGAAAAGGGAAAAGGGAAAAGGGAAAAGGGAAAAGGGAAAAGGGAAAAGGAAGGGGGGGGGGCACAAGAAATAGGGGATTGACAAGGGAAGGGGGATGGAAAAGGGAAGGGGGATGGAAAAGGGAAGGGGGATGGAAAAGGGAAGGGGGATGGAAAAGGGAAGGGAGAGGGAAAAGGGAAGGGAGAGGGAAGAGGGAGGGGAGGGACAGGGAAGGGGGAGGGAAAAGGGAAGGGAGAGGGAAAAGGAAAGGGGAGGGAATAGGAAGGGGGAGAGAAAAGGGAGGGGGAAGGGAAAAGGGAGGGGGCTCGTCGTTGTCATGGGCGCTCGTCGTTGTCATGTGCGCTCGTCGTTGTCATGTGCGCTCGTCGACATTGTCGGTTGACGTGGTTGTCGTCGTCCTCGTCGTCCGTTGATGTGTGGCCGTCCTCGTCGTCACTGACGCATTGTCGTCCGTTGTTGTTGTCGTGTCGTCGTCCATCATCGTTGTCGTTGTCATTGTCCGTTGGTGTGGGCGTGATTGGAGGTGACCGCGCTGGTCGCAGTGACGGTGGTTGTGGTTGTGGTTGTGGTTGTGGTTGACAGCAAAACGGAGATGCTGATGGTGACGCCGGCAAACGCCGTGACTCGTTTAGGAAGGTGGGCGTGAGGATGGGTTATATATAATTAATGTTGCCAGACTTTTAACAGCCATATGGTGTAGCGGAAATATTGCTGCTCACAGATTCATGTGATATTTCCTGAGGCCAGAGTTCAATCCTCATGCATCCACTTATTTTTTTATATATTATAATAACAACAACAAATATTGGAATTCATTGGAATGTCTCGGAATCTGTTGGAATTTGACTGGAATATATTAAATGTACTTTCCATGGGAATTCCATGGAATCTGGTTGGAATTGGAAACCAGAATGGCTGAGGCTCCAGCCAACTGGTTTCCGTCGGAATTCCATGGAATTCCGACATTCCACTTGGAATCCGCCAGATTCCGCCGGAACTCATGGGGGATGGTAAAGACCTCGGACAATCAAATGAATAAAAATAGAGCTGGATAAATAAAAGGCAAAGAAATAGGTGGATGGAAGCAAAGAAATAGCTAAAACATCGACCAAGGGAAGCAAAGAAATAGGTGGATGGGAGGAAAGAAATACCTAAAACATCGGCCTAGGGAAGCAAAGAAATGGATGCATGGGAGGAAAGAAATATCTAAAACATCGGCATAGGGAAGCAAAGAAATGGATACCTGGGAGGAAGGAAATGGATAAATCATAAGCAGGTGGATGGGAGGAAAGAAATACCTAAAACATCGGCATAGGGAAGCAAAGAAATGGATACCTGGGAGGAAGGAAATGGATAAAACATAAGCTCAGGTAGACAAAGAAATATACACCTGGGAGGGAAAGAAATAGCTGCATGGGAGGAAAGAAATAGATAAAACATTGTCCTAGGTAGAGAAAGACATATAGAGCTGGCAGGGGAAAGAAATAGAGGGCTGGGATGAATGACATGGAAAAGATATCAAGCCAACACACCAATGACATGAATTTCATATCATTTGCCACACCATTTCATATCTTAGATTTTACTGGCTTCAATGAAATCTCTGTGCTGGAATTTGTCTTGTGTATTTTATATAAGTGGTAGCTACCACTCTTCCTTTCCCCAACGATCCGTTATGCCTGGTGACGATTAACCAAGAAAATGAGCCACAAAGGTGTTAGTGACCTTTTGTAGCTGGATCTGCCACTCCTTGAGGGTCTGGAAAGGGATGATGTAACCCCGTCAATGAGCTGCCCCATCCCGCGACCCCCAGGTTGTTGGAGTAGAGTTTGCAGTTGCAATTGGCGAAAATTTCATTATCAAGCAGTCTCCTCCAACGCCTGGACAAATAGGTATGTTCACACCCTCGGAAGGTATCATGAAAGTCAGTCGGTACAGGTTGTCAACTATGGGCTCATAAAGGAGCAGCGGTTGATTTGTTCACGTTGCCTGATGTCAACAGTTCGTCTGGCAGGTTCAAAGTCTTTCTACCCAAGGGCAAAGCACGAATTCACTCAATGTCCAAGGTATGTGCTTGCAAGGGTCATCAAGGTCCTCGCTGGACGACTGTCATGTTCAAACCCTTCCTAGCCAAGGGCAAAGTGCGAAATTGCTCAGTGACCAAGGTACGTACTTGCAAGGGTCATCAAGATGTTTGCTGGACAACCCGTTTTTCACTTCCCCAATGATCCGTTGTGCCTGATAATGAATAACTAAGAAGATGAGCTAGAAATTGGACACAAAGGTTCCTTGCACAACGAGAAGGCCCAGTTGGCAAATACACTATGGGCCGCCCATCCCGCGATTCCCTGGGTCATCAGAGTAGAGTTTCCAGTTGCAGCCTGCCCAGATGGCGAGAATTTCATCATCGAGCAAGCAGTCTTCTCCAACGCCTCGACAAATAGGTCCATTAGCACCTAGACAAATAGGTCCTCTAGCGCCATCGGAACACATCATGAAAGTCGGTCAGTAAAGGTTGCCAAGTATGGGTCCATAAAGGAGCAGCAGTTGATGTGTTCATGTCGCCTGATGTCAACAGTTCACCTGGCAGGTTCAGACCCTTCCCACCCAAGGGCAAAGCGCGAATTTGCTCAATGTCCAAGGTATGTACTTGCAAGGATCATCAAGCTGCTTGCTGGATGACTGGCAGGTTCAAACCCATCCTACAAAGGGCAAAGAGCGCATTTGCTCAGTGTCCAAAGTATGTACTTGCAAGGGTCGTCAAGGTGCTCGCTGGACGTGCCTAGTAACAAATAACTAAGAAAATGAGCCAAGCGTTGTACACAAAGGTGAGATTAGTGACCTCTTGCAGCTCTGGCATTCCTTGAGGGTCCGCAAATAGGATGATGTAACCCCTTCATTCTCACACAACGAGAAGGCCCAGTTGGCTAACCGTATCGGCTGCCCCATCCCGCGTAGAAAAGAGTGGCGCCCAGTATCCATCAGTAGACTGTAAAAACGTGAGCTGACAACAGGTCATTAGGCACTAGCTTGTCAATGAAAAGTCCATACCCACAGGAAGGCACCAAAGTATAATCCCTTGATAGATATATGTATCAATATCGCCGTTGCTTTTGGAGCTCTGATGCTTAGTTCCTGAGTTGTTAGAGAGGTCCTCTGCCGCAGTTCCAAGTGGATCTAGGATGTACATGTGATCCTCTGCGAGAAAAGAACGATGCCGCAGGGAGGCCTTCAAGTTCCAGATGAGACACTGGCCAAACCCTGGCATGCATGGTGCTCAAATAAAATTGCAGAGATAACGAAAATTTGACACACCAAGAAACAGAAACCACGAGTTCCGTCGTTGCCCTCTCCAATACCCACGTTGAACATCGAGCGAGTTCACGCCTCTTTCATCATCTTGCCAACTCACTTTGGTTGTTTCACATCGCAGCCTTTCACCCATTTCTTATCACAATGAATATCCTTCGCAACTCTCTTGCACCCTTATCGAATGAATTCACATTACATTCATCACCTCGCCAAACTCACTTTGCTGCGTGGATCCTGTATTATCATCATGTGACCTGCAGGAATAGTCTTTGTCTTTGACGTTTAAGTACTGACTATACTTTACCTTTGATACCATTCACCTCGCTGGACGAGAATTCTTGCTGTGTCTGTCATAGCCCTGCATTGCTCAGTCCTTGTCACATCAGGAAAAACCCCAAATGCAAATTTCAGGTAATTACCTTGCAGTTACTTCTAATCCCCATAACTGGGAGATAATACACCTAACTACCAACTAATTAAAGATAATCGTGATAAAATTTGCAAACTACTCATAATTTGTTGTGTATTACAGCATTCTCAAAGGTCATGCCATATAACTTTGTAAATTTTTATTGTGGTTACACAGAGGGGACCAATATTATTACAAAGGAATCTGTCTGAGACTCAAGAGAGGATTACAGGTATAAAGTGTGGACAATTTAAGTATACAACAAACACTTTTGCAAAAAAGGCCTCATCGGAGATTGGCCGTACTTCCCATGTGAAGATACCTGCAAGAATTGATGGTCTTGCATGGTTCTGCCACTGCCGCTGTTGGACTCAGATGTACTGCCATACCTGTGCCATGGTACCCTTGTGTTGCCTTCGTCGTCCAAAAAGATAGGGGGTGGGTTGGTGAGCAGCTTCGGCAATTTTGCGGTCAAATTCTTGGGTGCCACAACGTCAGATGGCATTGGTGAAGAGGGCGATGAGTGTGACGACGCCAACAGCAGAGAATGTGCTTGCGACGGCTGCTGCATTGTGAACAGGTCAGGACCAAAGCAGGTTAGTGAAGATGACAAAGAGGCTGTCAAGACAATGACAAGTGGGACTGTTACGATTGTAGCTCCTGATCCTTGGAACATGGTAAGCTGCAAAAAAACGCGAAAAGAAAGGATCAAAAGTATATAGAAAAGATGGGATGGGGAGGGGACAGGATGATAATATGCTGCTCACCCAGCATTAGTTGATGCAGCGCTCAAGCTCGTCGGAGCACCACTAGCAGCCAACACCATAAGGAACAAGGTAAGCATAGCTACACCCCACTGGTCTGTCGTAACCCTCATATTCGTCGGGGGTAGGCTTGTTCACTACCGATGTTTGCTCGGATCCTAAATGGAGGTCTGCGTGCAAGAAAGGAGGGCATGTGAAGAGGTGATGGAAGAAGTGTTGTCGATGTTCAAGTGCTTGGGCAGCATACATTGAGCAGGGCACAGCATGGTGTGTGCAGAGTAATGAAAATTATTCCCAAGTCCGTTGAAACTCCGACGGCACATGATCATGTTGGATTCTATTCCCTCCCACTGCTCTTTCTTCCCACCACATCGTCTGCGTGCTTTTGTCACCCGTCATTCTCATTCGCCATACTCCCACTCAAATTCTCATTGTGTTACTGGCTTTTCTCTTCCAACTCATTGTGTTACTGGCTTTTCTCTTCCAACTCATGCTCGTGACCTGGCCTACAAATTCCAACAGTGAGCAGCCACCTTTCATTACTACCAACCTCTCAACCGCTCCCCTATGGCAGACAGGTCTGTGTGATGTTCCTGCCCTACACAACCTGTATGCCAACTCTAACAGGTAAGTACCCTTTCCGACGAGGCAACAACAATGTGGACGATCCTGATCGACAACGACCACATGACGATGACCGCTCGATGACGACAGGTAACGACTGCGTGATGACTGCCCCACGACAATGGCACGCCGACCACATGCAACCACGACCACATGCAGCAACATGTGGTGACACAACGTTGGCCAGGATTCACCACCACCCCCATCAACACCAAGGATGGTTCAGCACCCCGTCCCAACACCGACGACAGCTCACCACATAAACAGTAAACACAGCCTCACCACCAGCACCCACGACAGCCCACCACCCCACGCTGTCAGGAGCCCATGACCACTGCTCACAAACACCGACGACAGCCGGACACCACACCAAACACAGTACCCTACCCAGAGTGACAACTGCCCAACAACACACACACCCTCCTCCCCCAACTTGCGAACGTCGACACAGATACCTTCTACCCAACACAATCCCCTTCTATCTCACTGTAGCTATCAATTACCATCATGTAGATATTTCTGCTGTAGCCTTTCTTCAATCAATTCAATGTTACTGTTTGGCTCATTGTGTCAATCTTGAAAGAATTCTCAGCACCCAAAAGATTGAGAAAATGCTACTCTAATTGGACTAATTAGCATATAACCGCAATGTAACTTCACACCAGATGCAGATAATCTCTACTCAGCCATTGGTAACTTCAAGGTAATTTGAGGTAAGAGTTAGGAACCATATTCATACAGGGTAATTTGAGATAATTTGGTAAGAGCATTAATTTCATCTAATCCATTGAATTTTGAAGTTATTTCACCTAATCTTTCAGTTATTAGGGCAGATGAGGAGTTGGGGTTTTTCCTGATGCATCTACCAGTTGCCATGTCCCACAGGCGAGAAACTTTGCCAACAACTCCTAGCCCAGGTCGCAGGACTCGGTCGTTGACTCAGGCTGAACATGAACGTGCCACTCAATCTGTAGAAGCACGGCCTGTTGCCTCTCGAGCTCGAACAAACATGCAATCTGCTCCCTTGACACCTCCTCGGACGGTCCACCAGTATAGCACTGCCCACAATCACTTGCGATTGAGAGCATTAGCAACACCCATACCTTCCTCCAATTTGCCCCCATCTACACCTGAACCTTCAGAGGCTTTGCCAACAAATATTAGCCCAGGCTGCAGGATTCGACTGTGGTTGGCTTGGGTTGGATATGAAAGTGCCACTCGATCCTCAGAAGCAGGGTCTGAACAAGCATCTGCCTCCCGAGTTACAACAAATGCGCATTGTGTTCCCCTGACACCTCCTCGTACAGTCCGCCAGTACAGTGCGGCGCATAATCGCTTGCGACTGGGAGCATTAGCTTTACCCGACTCGTCCTCTGACTTTCCGCCATCTGTGTCTGAATCTTCATTAGCTTCACCCGCCCCTTCCTCTGACTCTGTGCCATCTATGTCCGAATTTCTTCAGTTGACCGGTGTTTTCTCCTCTCCAACCAACATTCCTGCTCAAGCCGCCCCACAAGAAAGTGATCATCAGAAACTACAGCGGGTGAGTACGCTTTATGAATTTCATCGCTTTAATTGATCAAGTGTTGTAGGTTAGCGAGGCTTTCAAGTCCGCAGCTGAGTGTCCAATTTGCACAGGGATCATGGCGAACCCATTTGTGTCAGTATGACATGCCAACTTTCCAATTTCCCCTATTGAGACAAATTTTCCTAGATTACGCTGCCTCCACACTTTTTGTGGCCATTGCATCTGCAGAACGTTTGCCGATCAGGTACAGCCACGTCTTCAGTGTACTGCTGGGTCTCTTTTATCCCACAAAGAACACAAGTATGATTGCCATGCCGTTCCGACGAGCCTGAAGCATCTTCAGGAGACAGTGACTGCCATTCGGTGTCATGGTCAAAGGAAGCCAGAGGACATATTCCTATATGAATGCCCACTCTGCAGGGGCCAAATCCGTGAACAACCTACTCTCAGCCCTTACAAGGCGAGGGCCTTCCTTTCAGATGTTAGGGCTGCTCTCGGATTAGACTTTAGTGACAATGAGATCACCTGCAAGGAGGATGTGGATAGGGATG